AAAAGGTGTTAGATAGTTGTCATAATGAATGTGGCACAACTGAACTTATTTTCCCTCTATTACGTGTAGTTTCTGTGCAAACAATCGTGGAACAGTAGTGTTTGAAAGCTGTGACTTAGAAAAATTTCCAAGTATGACATAATTAACACGTGACCTACTCCATCGTTTCTCCTATCACATAATCAATCGGCACATGACATCTTTCGTAGTGAATATATACTATAGTGCTTGATATGATAAAAACTATAGCAGAATGTATGATAGGTCAGCCGCATCTCTTACCTTAACCCACAAACACTAATAGATCGTTTTGATTACGAAGCAGAGAAATTCAAAAGTACTGATCCAACATGGCACGAGATTCGAGAGAAACAAGTATCATACCAAGGGCCAAAGCAGTGGCACAAGTATTGAAATTAAATTCAACAATAACAAGCCGTAATATCAGACGCAACGGTATGTCAGATAAAGGGGCCAAAGCAGTTGGAGAAGGCTTGAAAATGAACAGGGCATTAGGAAGTCTTGATATTGGAGGAAACAGTACATCGGTAGAATGGGCCAAAACGGTTGCAGAAGGATTGAAAATGAACAGAACATTAGCAAAACTTGGTATTAGCAGACAATAATAGCAAGACAGTATACGATTCCACTATAGCGCCGTGTGAGCAATGAAGACATTCCAAGAAAAAGATTTTGAAACATTCATAGATAGATGAAAATATGATTGAACTGTAGTAGATAATATATGTAAATCAGCATGCGATAACTGACCGTTGTAACAAAACACAAGGCAGGTAGTTAGTTGCTTTTTGAGTGACTTTTGATAGAAGATAGATAGAGAGCTGTGATTTTCGCTATTCGATAGCCAAGACCTGTACGCATCTTTCCACAAGCAAAACTGATTTTTGAAAAAGATTCAAAGACTGGATTCTCAGCAGATCTTTGGAAAACCAGTTTGGTTCTCTGAGAACTGACACAGAAATAGGTCGATCTTTTTTCATAGACAGATAGTCCAAAGTGTCCTCTGCAAAATGGAAACTAAGCAAATCCTTAATTTTTTCCAGTTCAGGCGTGACATTGGATTTCCTGAGAGTCCCAGAATAGAGTCCTGGTGGTTACAACTTTTTGACAACCTATAACCTAATTCGGGAGCTATGGACGTTTGTCCTGAAGCTTTAGTACCCTCTTCCGTTAGATTTGGGACTGTCAGAAATGAATGAAAACATAGGTTATCGACTATGCTGAATCTCGTGGCAATGTTAGTTTTCAGAACAAAGTGCAAGAACCGAGTGGAAACCTATACTAGGTGAAATAACCCGAAACTTCTGGAAAGAGATACAAAACTGTCCTAATTGACTTTGCGAGATCAAACAACATCAGAGGAGACATACAAAACTGAGCGTGACTTTTCAAAAAAGTATCTCTTTTGAGACGTAGTCAAATAACCTATTTTTGGTTATGACCCATTGTGGGTAACCTGTGGGCCCTGACTTTTAAGTTGCAACCTCTTCGTTTAAGCGCTTTTCTGTTATCTGGAGTTCCTCTAATTGAATTAGAGCTTCGCGTCCTCAAGTTTACCGTGTTTCATAGTTGTTTTCTGCAGTGTCAAGATGAAAATATAAATCAGCTTTTTGGAAAGGCAGATTTTCGATAAATTTGACAGATTTCGGATTTTAAATTTGAGACATTTTTTGCACTCAAACAGAAATCTTTGATTGATTTGGTTTTATTGCATACTAAACTATTTCTGATTTCAGGATCGATTGTCAAAGCATATTTATACAATATAATAAAACCGTTTTATTATATTCGAGTTGTCGAAAACCACGGCAACCGTTGCCGTGGTTTTCGACAACTCTTAGCCATATCAGATGGTTACATGCTCTAAAATGTGTGGCTCTTTATGATTTCATTGGCGGGAAACATTTTTGGGTCCAAGAGTTGTACTTTTTGACGTTAACTGCAAGTAAGTTTAAAATTTTTCACTTCATAACTGTTGCCAAATTTTTCAATAAGAAGACGACTTACCACATCGGATATGTTGGATATTCATCATAGTCTGATGTCCCGTTAAGGTTTTTGTTTGTTTCACACAATAGAGGACATGAGATTTCAAATTTTAGTAATTTGAAGATAGAATTTGAGTATTGAAAACAGAACGTTCCACGTGACGCATGGTCCCCTTATCTACAACATAAAGATTTCGTAAAATAGATTGACTACACAAAATGAAGAGAGATATAGGGTGTCCAGTAAGTCACTGGACGACTTTGATTACGAATAACTTCTGATAGGAACAAGATAGAGACCTGCGGTTTTCGCCATTCGAAAGAGGAGACTTGGAGGCATGTTCTCATAACCAACATTATTTTTAGAAGAGTTTTCTGAAACAGGTTTTCTAGGAGATCTTTGGAAAACTAGACCGTCTGCAAAGATTTTTCAATAGGATTGTGTTGCTTTTTTCTCATGGGCTGATAGTTCGGAGTATCCTCTCCAAAATGGGGGTAAAGTGAGACCTTGATTTTTCATGGTTCGGGCGTTGTATCGGATTTCCTACGAGTCCCAGGACCGGCACCCGACAACTGTTGGTAGCCTTAAAGACTGATGGACTATGGGTAATCGACCATGCTGAGTTTTGTGGCAATATTTATTTTCAGAAAAAGTTCTAAAAGTCTATCGAAAAGCCAGTTTTACGAAAATTAGGGTTTCCAGGCTGTTTTCACCTAATATTAAAAAATTCACTATTCACTCAAAAAATATCAGAACGAGTTCAAAACTTCAGAATGTAGAGTATTTAACCTATTCTATATCCTATTCATAGGAGATCTCGAAACAAATTTTACAGAACCCTCAGGTTTTCCAAAAGGGTTTCTGGAAAACCTATTAAACAAAAAAATGTTTTTCGATTTTTTTTATCTTATAATCACGTTTAGCGGACAACATTAATCGTATCTTGAGATTTTGAGCTTGTTCTGATGTTTTTTGAGTGAATAGTGAATTTTTTTTAGTGAATCAAAGTTGTTCAGTGACTTACTGGACACCCTATACATATATTGTTGCTTCTTTGATCAAACACCTAATTGAAAAAGCAATCGACTGATTAAGGAATCGTTTTTTCTTCTACAAAAATGAAGAGAGAAATTTTATTTGTCTTTTTCATCCTCAATTATTCAACTTTATTTTATATGTGACGAAAGACATTTTCTCTTTGAAATGTAAGAAAACTTTACAAATTCAGATTAACAGCCAGACATTTGTACATGATAAATCTAGTGAACCATTCTAGATGAGATATTTCAACCCCTAAACAACGTTGACCATGTTGTGAAATCAATCCATAAAATTTATATTGTTAATTATTATCCTCTTGTTATTATTTTCACATTTGTTCAACTTTAACCAACATGTAATGAGCCAGCTCGATTAGAATAAAAAAGTTTAAATTAATTTATATGATATAAAATAACTTGTTTATCAAGAAAAAGTTTATTTTTGTTTTTTCAACCATCACAAAATTCCCAATAGAAGGAGGAAGTTAAGTATTATACATACTACTGTCATTAAATCTCCATTAATAATTCAAATGTCAATTCATTCAATCATTTAGTTATTATTACGAAAACGAGAGTCTAATTATTACATTTCTTTTCTATTTAGCATTTTACCCTTGCTTTGAACAAAACAAAATAATATTTCACAGAACAGAAAAATATTTATGTTCTATATTCATATATACAACAGAGAACGAAAGAGAAAGACACACTAGAATAATTATAAAATAAAAACAAAGCAAAGATGCATGCTGAGAGAATAAAAAAATAACTATACAAAAATATCAATTATAGTCGTCACTGTACGATAAAATTTTCGATTCTCCAAAAACCAACAAAAAAAAATAACGAGATTTTATCCAAAAAAACAACAACAAGAATACTGTACTACAAAAAAAACAAAAGTATATTTCTCGTAGCATATATATTCCATGCATGTGTACTTAAGACGAGAATCCTTTTCTCAAAAGGTTGACCACAATAAATCTTTAAAGAGAATGAGAAGAAAATAGATAGATCACCGGCTTTTTGTAACTTGCATGAAAACAAGTGAGATCTCAAGATGCAATATATGACATAGAAAGAAAGACAAAACAGACACAAACTCAAGGAGAATAAGATGTTGTTGATGGAGTATTTAAATGTTCGAGAAACATTGGAGAAGTAAAATAGAGAGGAGGTTGCTGTGGAAGGAAAAATGGATTTGCAAACATTGAAATATTTTGCAATTTATTATTATAATGAGAATACGAAAACGTTGGTATTGTCGTTTGTCTATGGTCACATTCGTAATCCATTGATGTTTCTTGATTATTAACAGAATCACTTGATAATGTTCTATTAATAGTACTTTGTGAGATTGTTGAAAGTGAATTTGGTAAGCTTGGATAATGATCGATTGTGGGAAGATGATGTTCCTCTTGTATCATATGTAAAACAGATGCATTTGTTGGTGAGGGTGCAGCTAAATTTCTCAAAGAAAATTTAGTGTTCAAATTCAAAGGAACATTTTTATCTACAAGTACCTGTTCGACGTGTTGTTTCATTTGGAATAGTAAACTGCGACGTTTGCGGATACTAAAAAGACAAATATTGTGATTATAGTATTATAACAAGTATGAACTAGACGAACCAAGGAAGCTTCCTAGGTCTTCCCTCGTTTTAATATTGACAATTTTTTATGCTAATTCTGAATCTGATATCCAATACAACAGTTATGACTTTCTAACGTGCGTCTTTGCAATCTGGGTTAATAGAAGTTCCGCAAAAAATTTCGAATAAAGAGTTTTGGGTTTGGTCAGTTCGTATTTGAACATTAAATTACATATGCCTACACATTTTTAGAGCTTATAAAGATTCTGCTTTTTACATTATTTCAGCTGATTTTTGCAGAAAAAAAGTTTACAAATCTGTGAATTCATCGCCGAAACGAATATCAGACTTAGTACCGACATTAAAATTAAAAACTTATTTTTCAACAAAAAAAAAGTGAGAGAAAACCCTGGAGTCTCTCTCATACATGATTGTGTATTTATTATATTATACAATCAGTTTGAATTCCATTCAAGCATCGGAGCACGTAATGAAAGCTGATGAGTTAGAAAAATTGGATTATTACTTTTTGAACTTGTCGTTGAAGCTTTTGAAGTTCTTGTAAACTTGATGTTGTTACATCTTCATCACCGTCATTTGACTGTGATCCAACAGCTGTATTGTATAAGTGTTCGAGGTGGGCTTTTATCGATGGTGTTAGTGGATTTGGATTTGTATCACTGGCACGACGTGAAAATGATCGTTCACCATATATTTCTTTTGTTGAGTCACGTCCTGAATTAAAAAAAAGAAAAGAAAAACTAAAACATGGTGACTAGTGGAAATATATTCTTACCACGTCTAGGTTTTGATGTCAGAAATGATGTCTGATCACATACTGTGTGTCGTTTACCACGTTGTAAATATCTGAAACAAGGATAACAAAATTCAATTATACTTCAAAATATTTCAATCCTACAATTGAGTTACCTGGCAACGTTTTCTCCCTCATCTTCTTCACTCGGTAATGTAGAAACAGGAGGCTGTAAACCAGGTAAACCACGAGTGATACTGCCACGTGATGAACGCTAAATGAAAAAAGTATTGGTCAATAGGAAAAATATCTAGTATACTGCTAATTATTCCTGTTCATTCCTACTAAATTTTTCTTAAACATAGAAATAGTCGACTTACGTTTGATGATGATGGTGTCGTCGATTGTATGGCTCCAAAACTGACAGTTGGTACATCGTGTAGTTGTTGAAACATTTGAAGATGTGCACCACTATCGCTAGCCCGACGATTCATATCTAAAAACAAATAATATTAAATTTATTCTATATGAAAAAAGTTAAATATATTTGTTAAATACATACTGAAGTTATTTGACATTGGAGGTGCAAGTAGACAATTATTGAAATTATTCTTCTGTCCTTGTTCGTGCAAATTGTTATAATCATCCGACATTGCCATTGTCGAATTAAATTTGAACCCATTATAACTGTTTGAATGTGGATTTCGTTGATGATGTGAAAACAATGCGGGCGGAGAGCGCCCTTTATCCGACGACGCTGTCAAATCATTAGATTTTTGTTGTTGAAGTGATGAAAGACGATTGATAAGAATAGATGGTTCGATAGACGGCGTGTCTAATCTAGTTAGTGACTGTTGTTGTTTTTGAGAGTTATGAATAAAACGTACTTTCGCTGCTAATGATGGAATAGGACCCACATGACCTAAGCTTGATAATAAATTTGGTTTGCCGATTGTGTGTCGACGAAGACCGTGTGTCGTATTAAAATAATGTTCTCGCGAAGTCTGACATTCCACTTCATCTTGTTCATCCTCTTCGTCGCTTGTTTCATCTTCATCACTTTCATTTTCTAATTCTTCTTCAGCATTTTCAACCCGAATTTCGGTAATTGTATTACGACGCTCATTATTATCTAGAGATGTTTCATCTAAATCACATGGATCGAGTTCCGGTCGAAACGATGCATGAGCCTAAAACAAAAGAAAAGTTGACCGATTGTTAGCCTCTTTTTAATTACTCACCGGATTTGGTTTTGAATAAACTAATTTGCCTTGATTCAATAGTGTATCAAACAATACAGGTGCCGTTGAACGACGTGCAATTTGATTGTTATTTGAAACATCCAGTAGATCAAGGGCATTTGACTTACTTGGCCCATCAGTGTAATCTACATAAAAAAAGCACAAATTTACACATCGAATAGTCACCACTATTTGGGTTCTACACGTACTTGAAGTAAATAATTGACTATGTTCAAATGGTGATGATGTAATTGTTGGAATAGTATCGTTTGTTGAATCTGATGTTGTTTGATTATGGTTGTTATTCTTATTATCAATATGAAATTTTTGTTGAAATTTTTCAAGTAATAAATGATAAATGGCTGCGTCACTATCATAAGAATTGCCACTAACGGACTAAACATCAAAACAATATGGAATTGAAAATCAAACTTCAGTTCCAACGATCTACCTTAAGTATCTGCGAACGATTATATCCAAGGGATTCAGCTTGATTCAAAATAACATCGTTAATATGATCCGTTACTGGAGGTTGTATCAAATTTTGTGAACTAAAAATGAAGCATACAGAAAAATTGTGTAAAAGATCGTAAAACTAATAGCTTAGAGAATTCTCGTTAAATGAAAGCAGTGTCTCTGAAAAGTTTACGAACTGCATATATAATCTATTTACTTTAAAACAGCAGCAAAATCTGGATCGGATAGACATGGTGACATCCATGGGTGTCTAATAACATCTTGTATCGAATAACGTTTATCTGGATCAATATTAAGCATGTTTGTAATTAATGAACTACAATCTGTTAAAAGAAACCAATTCATCTATATTTTTTATATGTTTTTTTTATGCATACCGGCATTAATATAAAATGGTAAACGAAATTGACCAGATAATACGCGTTTACGTAATTCAATTATATTGTTACTTTCAAACGGTAAATGTCCACAAACGAACACGTACAATAGAACGCCGAGACTCTATAATAAAAAATTCATAATTATAATTTAATTTTTTATTTAAGTCGATTAACACTTACCCAAACATCCACTTTTTGGCCATTATACGGTAAACCTAAAAACAGAGACAGGATAGATCATCACTACAAAAATAAAATTAGACTTCCTATTTTCTCTGTAAAATATTATTTTTTTATTAAATTTCGTATCTGCTCTTCTTTTAATATAGGCTAGTTCTTACAGTTGTCATTACTATCAAGAAGATAGAGTTTAAAGAACAAGATATATACATACATTGAAATAATTCTGGAGCAGCATATCTAAAAAAGAAATAACAAAAGAAATATATAAGTAATCGTTGAAATTAAAGAAACAAATTACGGTGGAGAGCCACAAAATGTTCGTAAATGTGAATTTGTTTCAAATACAGTAGCAAAACCAAAATCTTAATATAAAAGAAAATTGAATAATTTTGTGTAAGTTATATAAATAAGAAAAAAATGGTAGATTAGATTAATTTTATTGTACCTGCTACTTTAATGTTATTATTACTATCTAGTAACAGATTTTCGGCTTTAAGATCCCGATGTACCTGCAGCGAACAATAATGAAATAAAATTTTGCTTTTAATTGATGATGGTGGTACTTACAATATTCATTGAATGAACATAATCCACAGCAATAACTAATTGTTTAAATTTTTCACGTGCTTTACATTCACTTAAACGTTTTTCGTGTATAAGTAGATCTAAACATTTGTATCTCATAAAAATTATATAATGAAAGTATTTTTAATGATTACCTAATACTTCACCGTTAGCAGCATATTCTGTTACCAAATAAATAAGACTTTTAGATTCCATAACCTGAGCGCAAAAATTAACAAACACGGTATAACTACACGAAATCATTAAATGAACATACTTCATATAATCGAATGATATAAGGATGTGAGAGAGATTTCATTACAGCTATTTCCCGTTCCAACTTCTTTTGTTCATTTGCATCGAGTCGACATTTATCAATAATTTTTATTGCTACCTAAAATTATTAACAATATATATAATATCAATATTCCATAATAATAATAAAATTACTTTTTGATTTGTCTCACAATGCGTCGCCAATTTAACAACGGCAAAATTTCCTTTTCCAATTGTTTTTTCTAAATAATATTTTCCTATTTTTATATGTTGGTGTTGCTGTTGTTGTTGTTGATGATGATGATGTTGATTTTCTATCGTTGACATTATAGACAAATGTTCAACTGTTGCATTTTGTATTACATCATCTGATGATAGTGAATGAAGTGTTGAGATCGATTTTGATGGCTGACTACTTGCAATTATTTGAGTTGCTAGCATCTGAAAATTCAAAGTATGACTAGTAGTTTAATAATATAGTAAAAATATATGCGCTTTACTTAAAAAAATAAGACTGGATTTGTTTATCTTTAATGAAAGAATTTTGAGAATAACCTTGCAGATAGACTATATAGAAAAAAATTTATATCACTGAAAATAATTACTTGTACTCCGAACAACGCAACTAAATGTAGGTTACTTTTGAAGAAAAAAAAATTCATATTTCTCATTTTTTTCACACGACAAAATTAATTAATGGCTAATTCGATGCTAACAATCTCCGCATGAAATATATAAAGAATTAATAATTATATAATTAAAAACCTCGTACCGATACTATATAGCACTTATGTAAACCTCGGTTCTTAGCAACGTCATAGATCATAATAGCGACAGGCAGAAAAAAAGAATTTCTCTTTGAATTTTAAATATAAAGTAGAAATCTTTAAATTAGTTCTTATATTTACAAAGAAGATTCCCAAAATGCCTAATGAACGTCTTAAAAACGGATCTTTATTCAATTTCACTCAAAAGAATGAGAAAAATGTTGTTGTTTTTTAAAAATGTTTTAACGTAACTTACAAAGATTAGAAGAATTTACAGTCCAGAAAGGCAGACGAGCGTTTAGTGCAAGGAAATGAATCAATCAACAAAAAAAAAGAAAAAGACAGCTCATCTTAACTGACCATGCGGTAACATCAAAGAGATAAAAGAGTAAACAAGTTTGAATTGAAAAGTCCAGTTACCACTGTGAAGTTCAGTCCAAGTCTTATGTTTCCAGTCACAGTTCATGTGAAAAAGCTTATTAGTTCAGACTTGCACTTGCCCATCTCTGACACTCGCCGTAGAGATAATATGAACAGGAAAAAAAAGTATTGGATTAGTTAGCATTGAAAAAATTACTTTTAGATATTCACTCGCATTTTTCTATCAAAACTAAGATACATTTCAAAATTTCTCGATCTAGAATAGTTTATATGAATCTGTTGGAGACATCTGACTCGATTTATTATTATTTTTTCGTTTCATCTATTATTTCAAATTATTAAGGTGTTAGAATTGATATAATAGGATACAACACTAACATTATTTTTTCTCCTTTTTGATAGTTAACGCGTATAATAGTTTTTCCTGACACATGTTAATAATCTAAAGATATAAATTTCTACTCAAAGTAAAGGAATAATATTTGTGAGTGTAATGTGGTCTACTTTTCTGAGAAAAAGGAAAAAAATACTCTTTTTTTTCTGTTGGATAAGTTCCAGATTCTTTCTTTCTTACCCTTGTTTTTTATCGAAAAAATAATAAAATAATACGCAGGGAATAACAACAATATTTTTCTTCATTATGTTAGTATATATGATTTATTACGAGCAGAAAACAAAAAAAAAAAAATCGATGTCAAATAGTTGTAATGTTTGTACGAGAAAGAGGGAAGAAAAATGTTTTGTAGTTAACAAGGAGGTCTATAGACTACTTGTGCGTTTTTTGGCGGCTGTGCGTACGTTTTTTTTTCCTATTGTCTACTTGAATTTCTTGTTCTTCTATCTGATTACTATATGCCATCTTTCGAAAACAAAACATCTCATCTACGTTTCTTTTTTCAATTCTTTTTTTTACACATATGAACTCTCGGAAAACATATAAATAAAAGAGAAGATCTCATAATGGTGAGAAATAACACACTATAAGCCTATAGTCACTGTAGAATGTAAACGTTCCTCAGTTATACATAGTCATAACTTCAACTATTCATAATCTTTTATTGAAAATTTAAAATAGTTATAATCAGATAAAGTTTTAATTTTAAGAACCAAAGATCTAGAAAACCATGTACCAGACTTTGATCAGTCAATTTTTCGCAAATAATTCGGTCGCATAGAGCAAACATTTCTGAATACAATGAGACGTCTCTCAACTCTCCACGACCATTTTCTATTAAACTGCATACAATTTACGAAACGTTTTTAAGACTAAGCCACTGAACAACGACGACGAAGATTATGACATAGATAAACTAATTCCAGTAATTTTACATAAAGAAAGATTTCATTTCATTTCGTTTCTTTCTACCTGTTCGTGAGATTTATACTCGTCTCGTAAAACTAATCGAGACTTTATTCTTATGTCCTGCTTTCTGCAAATATATTCATCTCATTGTATCTCTGTTAAACTATAGGCCAACCGTGCACTGTGAAGATTGGAAGCCGACTGAGTGAAACATTTCTGAAACCGGTTAGCTTCTAGCTATGACATAAGCTACGTAGATAATTAATATTAATATTAATATTTTAAACCGGAAATATCTCGGTGAAAGAACCTAGTGTTTTCTCGTTTAGCAACAAAAATGTTTCGAATTTTATTCACCTACATTTATCTTCTACAGCACATTATTCACATTATCGTATCACATGCTTCATTATCCTATGATAGAATTTCTATCATCTACATTCTGCTATAGCTTTTATCATATCAAGCACTATAGTATATATTCACTACGAAAGATGTCATGTGCCGATTGATTATGTGATAGGAGAAACGATGGAGTAGGTCACGTGTAAATTATGTCATACTTGGAAATTTTTCTAAGTCCCACCTTTCAAACACTACTGTTCCACGATTGTTTGCACAGAAACTACACGTAATAGAGGGAAAAATTAGTTCAGTTATGCCACATTCATTATGACAACTATCTAACACCTTC